TAATTGCCAGTAACAAACTATTGAATGAAGGTGTAAAACTCCATATGCATACGTGTGCAGTTTGAAGCTTTTTGGGGATAAGCTGGCTTGGATATGAGCTCCCGTTCTAGAGACGGCTCACCGGTCCGCAACGGACGGGGTAGGAAGGAAGCACCTTTTACAGGGGAGAAGACAGACAGTGGAAGAGACTTTGCTCCAGCTGTTCAAACTCCCTAAATGGTTTCGTCAGCTGCAATGGCTACAATTTGATGCTCTTCTTCCAAAACACTTCGTATTGCACTAATTTACTAAAGCAACTGTGTAGTCATTTTCAAAGCTCTATTAATTTAAAAAAGGCACAATGGGCTTTGCTGACACAGTTTCATTTCATTGTATATAAGATCCTTTTCAGAATTTCAGATGTAGCTTCTAGGAGACTTTCAGAAAAACTTGTAAAGACTTGTATTATTCATGTGAGCCTTTCCATTTTATACCTATTTGTCTAATACTTGAGTAACTTACTGCTACAGACTTTCTCAGTAATAGAAATGTTTGAGTTGCTGGTTGTTTCTATAGCGGTTTGGTTGCATCTTCCGTTGTGCATGCAGTACGTGCATTAATGCCTGCAGTCTCTGAGTGTATAGCAGCTTTCTGTATCCTGTTTCCTGGACAGTATTACAACAAATACTGTAAGCTGAGAGGTTCTGTGAGGAGCCGTGTGAGAATGGAGAGAAACTGGGAATCGGCATGCTGATTTGGCGACATGGAATTTGGACATGCAGCGTGCAGACATCAGGGTCGCTTTGTGTGCGTTTTCAGGGAGAGGTGGGAAGCTTCACGTAGCCTTGTAGGCATTTATCATTTCAAGCATCCCTTCAGATCATCAGGGCAGCAATTCTCGAAGTATTTAGGCGAATCAGCTTCTCTGGAAATGGTTCCTGTATTTTATTTGGGGGAATTGTTTTGGGGGAATTTGTTTCATTTTGGGGGGTTTTTTTTGTTTTTTGTTTTCCTTGGTTACTCACTGCTTGAATACTTGAATAAACCATTCTCCAGGACAAAATAATTTTAATCCTCTTAGATACCGTGATCTGAGCTATTTGACAGTTGTACAGAGTTCCTGCACCGGTATTGTTTTAGTATACTGATAACCATGTGTTTCCTTTACTTTGACAAAGTAATGTACTTTTTACCTTTATTTATCTGTATGAAATTCCAGCGGTTCATTTGAAAGTGTTCGTTTATATAATGTTTGTATTTTTAGCTCTTTAATACAGTGTTTCTACCTCTCCTTTGTAACTGCATGCATTCTTGAAACTAGGTAATAACTCACTGAACTGTTGTGTAATAGCCTTTTTATTATGGCCTGTATAAATGTATATTAAGGTAAAATAAACTGACACTAGAAGTGTTTCTATGGTACAGCCTTGGTGCGTCTCTTCTACCTGGGGGCCAGTTGTCACCTTTTGAAAACCTCTGAATCCTTGGTTAAAAGGAGGAGTGAATGAGGCAAGGAGACGGGACTTGCTTCCCAGACTGAGGCAATTCCAGGAGCGGGAAACCGCCTGATGAGCTTGCACCAACGTCTGAGGGCTGCAGCGGGTTAAACTGGACGCTGCCACTCGCAGCAGGTAAGTTCATTCTCCTTAAGCCAAGGCTGCTTGCTTGCTTTCTCCCCCTCTCACTCTGACTGCTTAACGTTTGTTTTCAAACCAGTTTTCTAGATAACCGCTGTGCGCTGTTGAGTGAGGTGCTGCCTAATTGCTTTTAGCAGCAAGGTTCGCTGCTGGACTTGCCAAAACTGGTGCGATGGACAGTGGATTGATGGAGCTGGATGCAAATGACCTTTCCCTTTGCTAATGCTGCTAAAGGTCAGTCTTTCCAGTGAGCTGCTTCCCCAGCTGAGCTGTGTGGCTGGGGAAAGGGCTGTTTTCTCCTAGCCATATTGTCAGGATTTTTGGGGGCCTCTCCCAGAAAAGGAAAACATCTCTTCAGAGCTGGCACATCCCAATAAAAGCCAACTCAAGCGGGAGGAGAAGGGAGCGCCGCCGAACTATCTGGACATTAATCTGGAAACAAAATGAAGGCTCTGATGCAAAACTCTGGGAGATGGACAGCTTTTCCTCAAGAACTCACTGCCTCCTGTCTCCGAATCTCCTCTCTGCTCCTGCCAGCAAGTCTACAGCTGTACAAACAGGAGCGAGAAGAAAGGGCTATTCTTGTGAGCTGTTTTCAGGAGGAGACGACCAGAAAGGCCACGTGCAACTCTGGAAACTCCTCCGACAGAGATCCCCAAGATGTCTTCCAGCCCCAGCGCTCTCTGCATTGAACAGCAAGGGGGAAGAACCACTTAACCCCTTCAGTGAAACTTCCCGGCTGCACCTGTTAGCCTGCGGGGACAGTGTTCGGTACTTACTGTATCTTGCATCTTCTGCGTTGTGTGCAGTGTCCCCTGCAAGATTGAAAACCCCTCTCTTCTGTTTTTTGCCACTTCTATGATTGAGAAGCTCAGTCCCTAGTCAGTCTCCACTTGGGAATTTCATCAAAACAAGTGGGTCTTCCCCCCTCCACCCCCACTGCTGAGATTCCCAGAATATTTTTTTCTTCAGCGAACGGGTCTCTGCCACTTCCAGTTTCAGGTCTGGATTAGTCATTCAGTCGGTCCTTTTAAAAAACGCGATCCAGTTCTTCCTCTTGCACTTTGAGGAGGAGAGGGAGCTGTCCCTGGGTTTTGTGTCCCACACTTGGCTTCTCCTCGCCTCACATAGGCTGCTGTTGTAATCGCTCCGTTTTGTGAGACAGCTCGGCTCTCCGCATGTCTGGGCTGGGCTCCAGAAGTACAGGTGCATCCTAATGGGACCCAGTTTGGAAGCACTGTCTTCTTTTGTGGTCCTGTGAGGTCGCACTGCAATGCAGAGAAATAGCTGGTCTCGCAGAGCTGGTAGAGGAGCAGGAACTAGAGCCAGGGAAGCAGAACATGGCTGTTTCCAGGGCCCTGCGGTGTTTTGAATGGTGGACTGCCAGGCTCATGTACACCTTACTTCCTCGTTACCCTTCTTCCCCTTTCCTCCCCTCTCCTCTGAAATCTTCTGGCAACCTGTCTCCTAATGGGTAGCACTTCCTTAACTACAGCAATGGGATGAAGTCTGGGATTTAAGATTTTGTTGAAGTCCTTGGGTTTTGGCTGAAGCCTTTTATTGAAAAACACACTTGGCCTGTGCTTGGCAGTTGCTCTCACTAGCCAGGGGATGTATTTCTGCGTGACATAGCCTTTAGTGGAAGTCTCTAAGCCAGTTCGGCCCCCAGGTAGCTAACCATGGGTGCTGCCCCTGTACAGACACCTTACCTTAAGCCTTTTGTGGGCAGCTGACTCTAACCTCCCAGCTGAAAGCAAACTGCTCTCCAGGCTTGTCCCAGCCAATCCCTCTTGTTCTTTTTCTTTCTTGGGCTGCTTCACATTTTCCATTGCTCCAGCGATGTCTACAATGCAGCCTACAGATCGTAGCTCTGCATGACGGGCTTCTGTTCTTGCAAACATGAGCTCAGCCACCGCCTCCAAGACACGTGACTCTGTGAAACGAACTGAGCTGCATTTATTCACTGAAGCCCCTTGTACTCTGGCAGGGCTTTGGGAAGCTATTTCTTGCCTGCTTTTACCTCCACGTTCCTACACTATCTGGCATGTTGAAGCAGTGTGGTTTGAAACTGCATTTCCTTGATAAATTGGGGTTTTTTTTTTGCTGTTCCTCTCTGGTTTTGTGACTCCTTTGACTGCAGGCACAATGGACTTGCACAGACAGGTTAAGTACAGAGAGTCAAAAAGCCCAAGGCTAAGTCAATTTGATCTTTATGAGCGAGTCTTAGCTGGGTGGATTGAGTTAATAAGCAAATGAACAGACATTCGCTTTGGATCCTGGAAATGTAGCCACATGCCTACAGTGGCCCAGGCCAGAAGCCAGGTGCTAAAGCATACCTCTGGGCTGGAGGTAGCCAAGGCTAGCCCACCCAACCTGCAAGGGGGTTGAGGTGGGGGTTGCTGGGGAGGTGCAAAGCAGCCTGGGATCCTGGGGGCCTGTGAATTAATTTGACTCTAGAGGGGATCTGCGACAGGTTAAATCAGTTTATTGAACTTCTAAATCAGTGAAGTCTAATACTACACCTATGCAGGCTTATCTTAAACCAGTTTGGGCCCTTTTGGAAGACGTTTATGTGCACTGAACTCCTGTTGTGTTACAGATTTGAACTGGTTTCTGGTCACTTTTATATCGGTTTATGGGGGACTTCTGTGCCTAGCCTCGGAGGATAAATGCCCCTTGTTTTCGAGGCTAACCTGCTTCCTGAGCCAAGTGAGAAGCATCCCTTAAGATACCAACAGGTATTTTGCTGGACTCCTTCCAGTTCAGTGTGTGTGGAGCTGCCCTAGGCCTGCCCAGTGCCTTTTTGAGGGCTTTGTAATAAGGAAGTGAATCCTTCCAGAGGGGAGCTGCATGGGGGTGCGATCTTGGGAGTGGGCTTGGGAACACAGCGAGACTGTCTGTACCCCAGCCCCCCTCCTGCCTCTTGCTTGGCTTACAGCCCCCTGCTTCTATCCTGGGACTGGTCCGTGAGCCCAGGACAGGAGGAAAGTGCTGCCTCTGGGGAATCTGCCTGCTCCACTGCCCTGGGCGGTCAGGCAGGTCCCCTTCTCTCTGCTTCTGGATCTCCTCTCTGGTGTCAGTTTAACCCCCTGCCAGACCCCTTCCCTAGTCCCTAGAAAGCTGGACAGTGGCTCACAGCCCTTGTTGCAGCCCTGGTTGCAGCTCCCCTCCTCCCTGTGCTGCAGGAAGGAGCTCCTTTCTCTCCTCTGCTTTTATCCCTGTAACAGTTGGTACTGACCATGCAGGAGCTCATGGCTGAGCGTGCGCGGGGGAGGCAGGGAGCAGCCCAGAAAGGTTTGCTTTCTGAGCTTGGCCCCCAGCAGGGACTTTGACAGGGGGGAGAGATGCTGCTGCCTGGCTAATTGGTCCAAGGAGAGGAGACACCAGGGGTGGGGAGTATCTCACTCATTTTAATGTGATAAAACCCATCACCTGCTGCAATAATTGCAGCCCTAGGGACTAGCAGCCTCCATCTTCCTTTGCGTTTCTTAGAGACCGGGTAAAAATCAAATGTTCTCCAAGGGACGCGGGTGAGTTGCGCGCTGATGGCGAGTGCCCCAGGTCTCCTGCCAGCCGGGGCAGGGGAGACGGCTCTTGGGAGGGGCAGGGGGCCCCCCCCCCCCCCCCCCTGCCAGTATCATCGCTGTTCCTTCTCTCTGCCGTGCCCGGGTGCTGGAGCATGGGGGGCTCTTGGCACTGGGCCGTGGGCTGTTGGGTGCAGGCCTGCTCCTTAGGGAAGGCAGGTGACTTAACGCTCTCGTGCTTTCCCTCCCGCAGAAGCACCGGCTGCAGCAGGGCAGGTGACCTGGCCCCCCAGGCTCCAGGCAGAAAGGCAGGTCAGGTCTCGCCAACCTTTCCACCACCGAACTCCCCCTGGAAAACCTGCTCCGCAGCCCCGGACCCATCCCGACAGCCCCGTCGGCTCCTTGGTGCGTGTCGGTCGGGGCGCGGGGGGTCCATCGCAGCCCATGGGGTGTGCCGGGACGTGCGAAACGCTCCCCTTTCCCGAGCCCAGTTGCAGCGCTCGCAACCGGGTCGCCCTGGCCTGGAGGAGGGGGAGCTGGTCCAGGCCCCTCTGCACCGCAGTGAGCCTGGGCCACAGCACGGTGTCTGGTTCCCTGTGGGTCGGGGGGAGGCCAAGACACGCGGGGTTGGGGGACCACAGCCGCATGCTCCGGCCTGGGGCCTCGGTTCGTATGCGCTGCAGGGTCCAGGCCGGGCCGAGGAGCGCAGCGCGCCTGCGCCCGACCCGGGCCCTGCAGGACGCTGCTGCCGGCGCCTCCCACTGCGCGGCCGGGGGGGGTCCGCGCTCCACTTGGACTCGCCCGAGGGGGTGGGGCGGGAAGAAGCGTGCGTCACGTGGCCCGGAAGGCGGAAGTGCCGCGGCGTGCGGCGGAAATACGGTAACGCGCAGCGCTGACGTTCACACGGGGCTCGCGGCCGGAGCCGATTCGGATTAACCCCCTCCCCGCTATCCCCCTGCTTCAGGGCGGCTAGGCCTTCTGCAAACTTTTTTTTTTTTTTGGTTTGCTTTTTGGGGGAGCGTTGTTTGGCAAATAAACGTAGATCAGTATAGAAGTACAGCTCTAGAAATGCTGGCAGCCTAGCGCCGCGGCTCCACCCCCGCACAGGGGCAGCCCCAGTCCGCCCCCCTCCCCTTCCCGCCCCCGCGCTCGCTGCCAGGAGCTGGCGACACCTCCCTGCCTTCAAAACCCGCTCCGCGTCTCCGCCTGTCCGCCGCCAGGGAGCCGACCCTCCCTCTCCTCGCCTGCCGTGCGAGGCCCTCGCGTGAGAACCTCCGCTTTGCTCCGCTGGGTCTTTGGCCCCCGGTTGTCCCGCGCTGGTCGCTGTCTGGGCTCGAGCACCGTTTGCTCCGGACCCGTCTCCGCGCGGTTTCTTTCCGCTCTTGAAAGCCGCCGACGTGACCGAAACGCGCGCCGGAGCCTGCGCTCGGCTGTCCCTCCTGAAGGGTGGGAGCGGGCGGTCGCCGGTCGAGCTTTTAAAGGCTCCTGAAACGCGGGGGAAGCGTGTACGGGTCTCCGACCCGCGCTGGGCAGAGCGGTGTTTTGAGGTTGCTTTTCTCCCTGCAGCGTCCGGCGCCATGGCCGAGGTGAAGCAGACCATGGAGCGAGCGAGAGCTGCTTTCGGCTCCGGCCGGTCGCGGGCGGTGGAGTTCAGGATCCAGCAGCTGAAGGCCCTGGAGCGCATGATCAAGGAGCGGGAGAGGGAAATCCTGTCGGCCATCAATGCAGACATCAAAAAGGTCCTTGCTCTTTGCGAACCGCGTGCGACGCGCCCTCTCCGGGCGGCGGGGTTGTGTCGTTCCCTGGCAAACGGCACCGAGAGGCCTCGGGGTTTTTTAAGACGGGAGGCTTTGGCCTCCAGATATTTGTCTCGACCGGGGCTTTGCTCACGAGGCGCTTTAACATCCTGCTAGCGAGGCGTCGTGGCACAGGGAGCTGAGCATCGCGTGTGCCGGTGGCTCGGTTCTCCCCATCCTTCAGCTTCTGCTCGGCTGTCTTTTCTTTGGGGGCGGCTGACTAGCAGCCAGGGTCCTGCTGCGCGTTGTCCTCGGGCAGTTTCCCCTCCTGCGGCGTTTGGTCTCGTGCCGTTTCTCCCGGGCGGCGAGCTGCGCCTTTGCCTCGGCGCTCACCTCGAGCTGCCTCGTTTCAGAACGAGTACAACGCCTACAATCACGAGATCCTGGGGCTCCTGGGGGAGCTTGCCCTGATCACCGACAAACTGCCGTCGTGGGCTGCGCCCCAGCCTGTGGCGAAGACCATGCTGACGCTGACGGATGAGGCCTACATCCACCATGAGCCGCTGGGCGTGGTGCTGGTTATCGGGGCCTGGAACTACCCCTTCGTGTTGGTGATGCAGCCGCTGATAGGGGCTATTGCGGCAGGTACGAGGCAGCCCTGCCCCTGTGCTCTGTGGGCTTCTTCCCGCGGCCGTCCCCTCTCCTCTGAGGATGCTCAAGCAGGTAAGATCCTTACCCTGATTTTGTGTCCTAGGAAATGCCGTGGTGATCAAGCCATCGGAGTTAAGCGAGCACACAGGAAACCTCTTGGCCAAGCTGATCCCGCAGTATCTTGACCCGGTGAGTTGATCCTTCTGGGTCCCTGCAGTTGCCGTGCCAGATGCTGCAAGGCAAGCAAAAAAAGAGGCAGCCTTTGCCCTACAGATTTGCTGTGAGGCAACTGGGAGCTAAAGCAAACAGGCGCAATGGGGGCGGTACCGGGAATAAGATTGTTCTGTGTGATAATCAGAGGTGAGCTGTGTGGAGGGATTAGGGCAGTGAAAAGAGGCTGGTTGCGTTCAAGGCAGTCATGCATGAGGGCGAGCGTTCCTCGGCCTCGTTGCACTGTCGAATCGGACAGGAGTCCCCTTCCCACACCGTTCCCTGCCGGCCTGCTGCGTAGCCGTCCAGTTAGGACCTACGCCTCTGATGGAAGCAACGGGAGCTCGGCAGGGCAGGTGCTGACTTCCCACAGTCAGCCAGAAGCATCGGCTTGCTTTCCCAAAGCATGCACGCAGTATTGCAGAGGAGTACGGCAATTAGTGCCCGACAGCTGCTTGTGTGCTCGGCTTCGTGTGCTCTGAGCAAACAGTTCTGTTGCCGCTGCCCTGCAGCATCAGGGTAGCTTTAATTTCTAAAATCAGTAGCTTCGGGGATCAGAGCGTTGGAGTCAACATCAAGCACTTTTTGCTTGCGGCCCTAGTTACCGGCATGGAGAGCACTGGCTGCCCAGGCACACTTCTGGTGGTTTTCCAAGCTCTCACTGGAAGAATAAAGCAGTGCGGCCTGTGTGTTCTGCCAAGCCTTATTCATTAGGGGACATGCTCTGCTGAGGTTTCAGTTCAAGGCAGCTGTCGATGCTCTTGGCAGTCCTGACACCACTTGCAGTGGTGGAGGACAGCGCTGCTCCAGGCTCATCCCCACCTGGTACTTAATCGGCGGGGGAGGGCACGTTGTACGGGTTTCCACGCTCCTCTGACACAGGTGCCTTGCAGGGCTGGCAGGTGAGTGGTGAAGGCGGGGAGCTGTCCCTGGCTGTGTGTTCAGTCTGGTTTTGTCTGACCCAGTCGACAGACGGCTGTGGTTTGCCCATGTGCCACCCCCGGACACTTACTTCCCTTCCATGCAGTTACAGGCTTCTCCTTTGGTGGGAGCGTAGGAACAGCCCTAGATCCGGGCTCCAGTCAGCTCCGCCCTCTTACCTGCAGTTGGGTTTGTCAGCAGAAGGTGCTAGAAACCTCCCATGGGCAGAGTCGGGGCATGACATCCCCATGTAGGGTGTCACCAGGCTAGACCCTGCAGCACAAGGGGTTTACGCCTATAACGTCAGGAGGGCTCTTGCTGGTGCCAGCTAGCAACTGAGTGATTCCTCTCGAAGGGCGAAGATGGGCTGACCTTCCCTCACCCGGCCTGCTGGCAGCGTACGGGTTCATCTAGCTGGGACAGGAAGGAGCAAACCCTTTCGCTCCAAGCGCAGCATTTCAGCTTACAGAGATCATAGGTGCAGGAGCGTGATGGAGGCAGCAGCTTAAATCCTGCAGATGGCACGTGTCTGTGCCTGATGCCGGTGATTTCTGTGTTCAAGACGCTGCATATGCCAATTCAGGCCCAACTGCAGGCTCTGGCTGTATAGGCCCCTCTCCTCCTTGCCAGGAGGTTTGAATGCAATAGCCTCATCAGTGTCCGAGCTGGAAGGATTAACTGCTAACAGGCAAACTGCCTGCTTGCAAAAAACAAAAAAACCCATTCGGTGTGGCTCAGATTCTGCCAGCTGCAGATGCTTCCTTTTCTGGGGCCAGTGCATTTTCCTGAGAGTCCAGGAAAGCAGGCTGCCAGCTGCATAGCCACCTCCCTGCGCTGAGCTGCCAAGGGAAAGGGTTCCCGCAGGACGTTCCTGCACACGTGTGCCATGCAGCAGTGGCAAACCAAAATGAGCCCATTGACACTCGCAGCTGTTCCTTTCTGCTTTGCAAGGAGCTGTACCAGGTGGTCAATGGCGGCATTCCCGAGACAACCGAGCTGCTGAAGCAGAGGTTCGATTACATCTTCTACACCGGGAATCCCGTAGTGGGCAAAATCGTCATGGAAGCTGCCGCCAAGCACCTCACCCCTGTTACGCTTGAACTGGGGGGGAAGAGTCCTTGCTACATAGACAAGGACTGTGACATTGATGTTGCCTGCAGGTGAGACTCATACGGGTTGTCCTCCAAGGGTTCGGGTCCTGGAGAGGGAAGAAATCTGTGGGGAAGGTGTGCGGGGTGAAGGCGTATCGGAAGCTCGTGGTCCTCACTGTACCTCTTGCATACTGTTTGCTCTCTCTGCCTTTTGGCAGAGCAGTAAGATTCCTGGAGACATAGACCCCAAACCCATGTCAGCCTGACGTGCAGCTTTACCTGAGGTGAAGACTTGCCTTTCCTTTCAGCGGGTTTGGCTGACTGTTTCCTTCTTAAACAGCTGTTAGAGGTTTGGTCTGAAGCTTCCTGAGGTGCATGCCAGGAGCCCTGCTCAGCTGGGGATATAAGCTGAGACTTCTCTTACTTGGCACTAAGGTTATTAAAAATGCAAACTGCTCCATAAGCAGGGCTGCGTGCAGGTTCAAGGCCGCAGCACTGGAGTCTTGTCACCTTATCAGCCCATGCAGCTTTCCCAGCTGTACTGCCAAACACAGGCCAAAGTCCACAGCTCCCTGGCGGCAGCCTGAGCACAGCCAGCTTGCCCACACAAAGCCAGGCAGCCCATTCCTCAAACCCTGAACAGCACCAAGCCAAATATTCACAAGGCAGGGGCACTCCTCGACTCAGCCGTTAAGCTCTTATTCCCATAATCGACTTTCTCAGGAGTCCAGGCTGGCTTGTTTGGCTCTGGCAGAAAGGAAGCAAATTGTATTTGGTGCTCCCTGCTGGCCTGACCAAAAGCCCAGGCTCTAGCACGGGGGCCCCAAGTTGTGCTAACAGCAAAAATTGCCGAGTTCTGTAATGTCCCAGGGAACGAGTGGCTTGGGTCATGTGTCAGGAGTTACGTCCGCTGAAGGTGTCAGTCCTGGTCAGAGCCCAGCTTTGAGTTTTCCTGAATTGGTAGATGGATCCTTCCTAGCCCAAACAGGGCAAGATCCTCTGCCAGCTCCCAGTTACGTGGCTGATACCGGTGCTGCTGACAATACTGAAACCGGAGCTTAAACACTTACTAACAGGCCTGAAAGACAGCAGCTTTGCAAGGCTGTAGCTGTGGCTGGCTGTCCCATTCGGTCTCGGCCCTGGCTGCCAGTCACTGTATCTTCTTTGAGATGGCTGCTGCTCAGCTGGTGGCTTTGGCCCAGGTGTTTTCCCTTCAAAGCAGAAGGCTGCAGAGTTCATCTGCCCAGGGGCTGATGTAGCAGAGAGCTGGGCAGAAGTGACCCGTTGCTCCCTGACATCTGCAGACTTTGGAACCCTGTCACTCTGAGCTGGGAGATCCCCATCTCCTCACGGGTCCTGGGGAGACCAGCGTGGCCTTCGTATGGCTTGCAAACCTGTAGGCACAGAGCGTTTCTGGGGCTCGGGTTCTTACAGGAAACGCCAGCCCTTTGCTCCCTGCCGAGGCAGTGTGAGAGGAGGTTTGTTCGGGGGTGCTGGGGGGCTGCTAGCAAGCACCTCTCCCACTCCCAACCAAGTTGGCTGTTGCTGTGGGTAAATACCCCAGTAAATGGAGAAATCCTTCTCCTCAGGCGCATAACGTGGGGGAAGTACATGAACTGTGGGCAAACCTGCATTGCCCCGGATTACGTCCTCTGCGACCAGGCCATCCAGAGCAGAGTGGTGGAGAACATCAAGAAGACCCTGAAGGTGAGCATTCAAGTTGCTTGTGCATTGGAAACCTGCGCACTGTCCTCTGTTCCAGCAGCTGTCCCTGGGGCCTCCGTGATTACAAACTTGTATTTCAGGCTTGAGAAGTTTTCCTAAGAGGGTTTGTAACCTATTCCACCACTCCCGAGCCCTTGGCAGTGCTGAGCATTATCTGCTCCACAAGAGTGGTGCCACTCGTTCATGCTGGTGCCAGCCCTGTTTACCCAAGACGGTTGGGTTTCAGCTCTCTGTTGCTGCAGCAGTTTCCATAGACAGTAGCTCCCGCAGAGCACAGGAGTGGACTTGTGGGAGACACCACGGGTGTTTTGGAGCAAGAAATGGTCCAGCCTGAGCAGTGGGGGGATTCTCCGCCTTTGTGGCAGCTCGTCGGCTGCCTGCGGTGATTGCCCAAGTGACGAAATCTTTCCAGCTTTGATCCTCTCTCGCCCCACAGGAATTCTACGGGGAAGACGTGAAAAATTCCCCAGATTATGAAAGGATCATCAACAAGCGCCACTTTAAAAGGGTGATGAGTCTGCTGGAAGGGCAGAAGATAGCACATGGAGGGGAAGCTGACGAGGCCACCTGCTTTATAGGTATTCTGTCTAGAAGGAGGGGCCGGTGGAAAGCTGCTAGCTGTGTGCCACAGCTGTCCTCCCTGCTTTGGCATTTGCTGGCTTGCTCTTCCAGCTCTTGGGCTTTGCAGGGAATCCAGTGGGTGCTTATGGGTAGGCAGACGGTTCATCTGCAGGAAAAACCTCCTGCAGCCAAACGGCCTCTCGGTGCCAGAAGTTCCTGAAAAGACTGGGACTCTTCAGTGAGGAAAGAAGGAGGATGTGATCGAGGGCTGTAAGGTGACGTAGGGGGTGGACAGAGTGAACAGAGAAGTGTTGTTCACCAAGCCTCGCGATACAAGAACTAGGGGGCACCTGCTGAGATTTGCAGGAGAGAGGTTCAGAACAACAAGGAGCACTTTTCTACACTGCACACAGCTCGCCTCCAGAACTTGTTTTCGCAGGAGGGTTTAGAGGCGGAGACCACGACCAAATTCAGAAGAGACTAGACAGGTCCATGGAGGATGCACCCATTGTGAGCTGTTAAATAGAACGGGGGTGTATCCTCTGAGACCCCCAAATCCAGGGTTGTTGATGTCAGAGGGGGTATGACGATGGGTTATGCTACACATGCCCTGTTCACATGATCTCCCTCTACTGCTTGCCGCTGTCAGGGACCGGACCCTGGGCTGGATGGGCCATTGGTCTGACCTAGTACGGCACTGCTTATGTCATTGTAACTCTCAGAGGAGAGGACTTTGTGGAGGCCTTTTAAATCTTTATTTTCCTCAAGGGTAAAGTATCGGGGAGCTGCTAAATAACAGCGTAAGTCCCCCATCTATTCTGGCCCATCCTTTGGACTCTTCAGGCTTCCGCATGGTTGAACCTAGCGGTACCAGTTTGAAAGGGACCTTGGGGCAGGAAACTTCTGCCTTGGCTGCGTGGATGGTAGACACACACCAGTGCAGATCTTCCGCCTTTCCTAAAAGGGACCAGAGCAGGAGTCAGAGAGCAGACCTGGACCTGGCTTTGCCAGGTGATCTTAGCTCGGTTACTTGACATGCCCCACATGACACACACCCTGCGGGGGGTGAGATGGTCTGCAGCAGAGCACTGGCTTCTCCGTGCCATGGTCCCCCTGATTTGCTGTCCTGTACATTGCAGCTCCAACAATACTCACCAGCGTGAACCCGGAATCCAAGATCATGCAGGAGGAGATTTTTGGGCCTGTCCTTCCCATCGTGACTGTGAAGAATGTGGATGAGGCCATTCAGTTCATAAATCAGCGGGAGAAACCGCTCGCCCTGTATGTATTTTCCAATGACAAAAAGGTAGGTTTGTTCCCCACTTGGGTGGTAACCTCTCTTGCTTGGTTTTAAGTGTGGTGCCTCATTCCCTTCTCCCCTTGTCCCCCCTGGCGTCAACGTGTGTTTGACTTTCACTGGTGCTACCTGCCGGCTCTTGCACTATGAGATATGAGATATTTTGAAAGCTTTTGCAAACTCCCACGCACTTCTTGAGGGCAGTAGGATTTAAGTGACATCCTCTGGCTCTCAGCCCATCCCCCACCCACACGTGTAAGTGCAGCAGGGAGGGGATGGTGATTAGACATGTGGCTCAGGCCTGTTTACACGCGGATCGAAAGTGTGTTATGCAAGAACCTGCTGCTTGGCAAAGGAACAGAGACCAAAGTGCCAGTTGAGCAATGCCTGGTTGATAACAAGCAGGTTGCATTTACCTGTAACGTGACTGGGCGAATCGTGCTTCAGGGTGGTTGAAGGTCCCAGGCAGTACAGTGCTCTCCTGCTCCGTAGGCACGCTGCTGCGAGGTGGGGCACCACCAAACCAAAGCACGGGGCCAGTGTCTTGGGAGCTGACTCCAGCAGGGCTCAGCTGCTGGGTGCCATGCCAGTAACTTTAGAGAGTGGGCACGTCTGCAGTGGAGATAATTGGGTCTAGAGTCTTTCTAGTCCTCCAACAGGGAAGACCTGGGTGTGAGCTTAGCTACTGTGTGTGCAAAGGGTTACAGCACTCAGAGGAGGCTGGTTATCAGGCAGCTGAACACATAGGCCTTTCCAGCACAGATGTTCTCAGCATTACGCTTGGCCCTGGGTAGCCTACCTGCTGCCAGCCCATGGAGTGCAGCAGGGGCCTCCACCCTAGCACCATCAAACCTGCATTTCATAGCAGATGGGTTGTGAGAGCATCTCCCGAGTTAGCCAGTCCCCAGGTTCACTCCCGGAAATGGCCTGTGCCCTGTTGGCTGGGCCTAGGCTAGAAAGGAGCAGTCGTATGCCAGAGCTGTGGGATGGTCCCTCCACTTCATGGCCTCCCAAGTCTCATTGCACTTGGCTTTGGAGCGTTGCCCCATGAAAGCAAAGTTTAAGAGCAG